ACCAATCCCCACTGACAGTTCCTCTGTCTCCTTTCAGCAGCGGCGGGCCCTCACAGCCAGGACACCACCGCAAGACCTTTTGGCATCTTTCCTTCACCAGAAGGATGACTCTGTGCATATCACACACACACACACACACACACACACACACACACACACACACACACACACCACACACACATAACACACACACACACAACACACACACAACACACAACACACACACACAACACACACACACACACACACACACACACACACACACACACACACACACACACACACACACACACACACACACACACACACACACACACACACACACACACACACACACACACACACACACACACACACACACACACACACACTAAAGGCTTGACCAGTGAGCAGAGGGAAATTCAATCACCCAGGAATGTAGAGCAGTGGTGTGGATTCTCAGTAGTGCTCTCACTCTCCCTTTCTTTTTCTACAGCCACATACTTCACCTTGATATACAACTTTGTGTTTCCAGTACACACAAACACACACCCACATAAATCTGACAGCATGTCATCTAGCACTTTGTGAAAGGGTGTTTACCTGTTGAGGAATGCGTTTCCAAATGCGTTGAGCTTTCTGAAGGGCTTCTTGGGGTCAACCACCAAAGCGTTTCCCGGGATGACTCCTTCGTTGTCGCCGTGCATCACCGCGATGAAGGAATCTGTGGTGGGTTCTGGGCCGATACGCATACCGGGGAAATCCTGCTCCAACAGGTAGCTGTGGGCGAGATATTATATGACATAGCGTTACACAAAACAAGGGAGAGAAGAGATGTTGTTTTTTTGAAGATGCTATCTGAGACCATGAGCAGAGGGCCTTGTGCAGCTAGCATAGCTTAACGCCAATCTTCAGGTAATCTCTAAAACCGGATATCTGTGTATGAATGCTGAATCTGTAGGCAACGGGACGGGATTTTGATAACAGAAACCTTCTGGTTTTTGTTTGTAGTCCAAATAGTATTCACCAATCATGAACGCATTGGCTAAAAAGGCAGTCTCTAAACCAGGGGTGTCCAAACTACGGCCCGGGGGGCCAAATGCGGCCCACGGGCTATTTTGAATCGGCCCCTCAGCAAATCCAAAAAAGTATAATGAAATATGGCCCACAAATGAAACTTGTGTTTGTCTTATATTGTACTTCTTAAATATGAATGTAAAAATATATTACAGGAGTAGTATTCATGTGCTAATAAGACTACTTTTAAAATAAATTCAGTCAATTCAAGTTGGAAAAATGTTCTAACATATAAGAAAAAAGCCCAATGACTTATTTACATAACAAGCTTGAAATACACCTTTCCTATTTCTCCTTATTATAATCAATCTGAGGCTTCTGTTTTAAGGGATGAGCTGCCAACAAGATAAATGAAACCCTATAGAGAGCTGTGATGGAGGCTGTTTTTTTCTTAAAGCATATTCATGTATCGAGCCTAATTTACCTACATTTTGCTAACTTATAACTTCACTTACGAGGCAATATACCTCACCTCTATAAGTTACCCAGCCCTTCGTATATTTTTCTGTATGTGGCCCTTGGTGAAAAAAGTTTGGACAACCCTGCTCTAAACTAAAACTAAACTGACGATAATTAAGCTTTTTGTCAGCTACAAAAAAAGATTGCATACATGTAATAAAGTGATGTCCTAGGTGCACACTCTCAACTCTTTTGTCTTAAAGTTGCTAATCGGACTGTTAACAAAGACCGGCGAAGAGGAAGTCTTGCCCAGGATATATTAGCCGTTGCCCCAGAAACTAAATCTTCGTTAGACCAATAACCGATTCTGAGAATGAGTTACAAGAGATTGATACCACTTCATAAGACATTACTGTCAACGGTTTTCTCCAACCAAGGGGTAGTTTTCCACTTCCACCATTTGTAATTGGCCTTACAGTGAACTGTAGGCAGCTGATGTGTGATAGACCAGCGGGCTCTAATTTGAAAGAAGTTCTGCAAGGCTTTTTAGTCCGTATGGTCAAAGAAAAAACTCAAAATTCACCAGGAAACAGGTCTGCCTTGAATTAGAATCTGCTGGAACAAGCATTAGGGGAATTTTACATCATTATGAGCTGGATAGCTGCGGAGCACGAAAGAAGACTCTGCAGCATGACGTTTGATCTGAGTTTGTTGCTATTTAGTTCATTGAGACACAGATAGAAGGTATTGGGCCAAAAATAGATAAGTACATTTGCAGGTGAGCATGAGGACTACTCTCATCACACGTTGTGACAGACATGCTGCTAACAGATCAAAGTTGACATAATAATGAAGAAACAAGCATAGCCATCAGGCAGAGCTGTACATCTTGGACTCATTTAAGATTTCCTAAAAGGACGATTACCTTGAAAATGTCAAACTAGTTTTGCAGTTGCTAAATAATGCAAGTTCTAGAACATTAAGACTGGTTTAGGGTCAAAAGGGTAAGGGACAGACAATTAAACATAGAGTTTATGTATGTATGATTTTTTTTGACCAGACATATTTTTCAGGAGACCATTACAAAAAAACAAAAAATTGTGAATATGTTTATGTTGCAAACAAGGTTTATGTTCCACTGTTTGAAAATGCTGCAAACATTTGACCTCATCTGTAAGTGTTACTATGGCAACACAGCTTACTTGCATCTCATGTGTTTTAGGTGTGAAAGGTTGCATGCTCATCTGTTAATTCAGTGTCATCATCACACATGTTACAAATGAAGATTAGTGTGTTTTCTGCTGAGTTTCACAACCCCAACATTGTGAGCGAAGGCCATAAAGAGATTTAGGAAAAAGATTTACTTCCAAAAACAGACCATACATTTAAAGTGCGAGTGGGATGTGTGTGCATCTTAACAGCTACCAGATGTAAGGATGGTTCCCCATACACATCTCCACAAATACACTCACACACACCTTGTCAGAGCAGTCGGCACAGTGCCTGGTAGAGCCATCTCTCTGCACTCCTGTCTGTTTAATGTGTCTGTGGGGAGGCTGTGCAGATTGTATGTTCCATTTCATGTATACAGTACATACTGTGTGTGTGTGTGTGTGTGTGTGTGTGTGTGTGTGTGTGTGTGTGTGTGTGTGTGTGTGTGTGTGTGTGTGTGTGTGTGTGTGTGTACCACATGCCTTCAGCTCTCATCATACCATTACATTTCTCACATTCATTGCAGCAAGCTGTCAGTGAGATAAAACTGAAGATTCACAGGTGCTGCATGGTTTCACAAATGTAACCCTAATGTATTAGACTGAGGTTAAAAAAGCATTGATGCACTTTGGAAATCAGCCTAAAGGAAAACTTGGAATCCTCGAAAGACTCAAAGTAACATTTGGGAAACAAGTGGAAAATCAATAAATCTCATTCCTAAAATTAAGACATGCTCAGATTACTGGCCTCTGAATGACCACAGACTATATTCTCTCTTGTCCCTCCATCCATTCACATTTATTAACTACATCAAGCTGTAACTGACATAACTAAACATCATTATTCTAAACGTTCTTTCTTACGGTTCAAAGACCTGCAGTGCTCCAACATCCAGAGTGTGACACCCAGAGATGCTGCTGAGCGAGGGTTACTCAACAGCTTTACATTCTGCATGTTACTGTTACAATGGCGGGGGGGGGGGGGGTTAGGCTGCTGACTGTTGGCGGTTGTAATTGGTGAAAAGTGTAATGAAAATAGGGAGAGAGACATCAGTGAGAGACAGGAGAGGAAGAAGAGAGAGCAGCCTGCACTGTCTTATAACAGGAAGTCACTAAAAGCATCCTCTTTCTGGCGTTCAAAGGCTAACCCCACTAATTACCCACTATGCTCTGCAAGAGAGAGAGAATGTGTGTGTGTGTGTGTGTGTGTGTGTGTGTGTGTGTGTGTGTGTGTGTGTGTGTGTGTGTGTGTGTGTGTGTGTGTGTGTGTGTCAAGTCATTAGTAGCTGTCCTGCAGTTCAAAAAGAGGCCCAACACCAACACCCAGCTGCTAATATCTCCTGCTGTCACACATAAACCAACACCGGACTATTCAAGGTCATGAGTTCTCACACAACTCTGAATATATAACATTATTTTATACTAAAGAAGAGTATACTTCATCTGAATTTAAGTTAAATTAGGCGTGTATTTGATGGGGCAGTGTACTAGCAAGAATCTTGCAATTGGATACAGGGTGTAAAGTCAAATTTTAGGGAAACTGTCCTGGAGAAAACATACAATCTGAACATTGGTATTTAGATTTGCATTTCTTAACGTCCCTGTAACATTCAACATCACAGCACTAATTTGACAGGGCACGTACGATAAGAGGGTGGATATAATTACAAATGAAATAATGTATTAAATGATTTCATCTTTGCATGTAAACTAAAAAGAAGCGTCAAAATCATAAATTTCTTGAAAAAGTGTACAAGGAATACACCGTGATGTGATAGATGTCCTTGTGTGGTGTAATCATACACATATAACACATGTATATACACACACCTCATGAGAGAGGCTCCAGTGCCAAGCAGCGCTGCCTCCATATGTATTAGCTGTCATATCAAAGTTATGGTTTCAATTACTCTTGCAGAGGTGTGGCTCTTTAGGCTGTTAGTGCGTTTGTGTGTGAGGACTGATCTTTCCTATTGTTCCTTGTGTTTTTGATTATTTGTTCTATCCCCTTCTTTCTCACTTTTAAACAAAATGACAGAGAAAAGTCAGTTAGGGTGTGTCAACCTCTATCTTTCTGGTGACCTCATGTGTTTTGTGTGATTCCTGTATGGGTGTTTGTGCTGTTTATCTCACCGTATGAAGCTTGTCTTGCCGGTGGAGTACTGTCCCACCAGTAGGACCATAGGCTTGTTGTCAAAGTCTGCATCCTCCAGGGCCGGGGAGTGGAACTCGTGAAACTTGTAAGCCTCCTCCAGCGGCAGGAGTTTGGTTCTGTAGAGCTTCTTCAGTCCATCACCCACGGTCTGAAAGACTTCTGGATCCTTCTTCCTCCTGTCGTCGCTCCCAAGCCAGCTGAACATGGCTGCTGAACTGGTCAAAGATGCTGTTGGTCACTCGTGTCAGATTATTTTCTTGTTGACTGACAGGTTATAGGTTTAACCTGACAGATCTACAAATGTCAAATGTCCTTGAGGGATCAAACACTCTTCTTAAGGGTAGAGATTTCCTTACAAATAAAACAAAAAGAAAGTGAAGCTAAGATCTAACCTAGTTGAGAGTCAAAAAATAAACAGAAATAATTAATCGTGACATAAACACAAACAATAATTGTTTTCCTGGTTATATTCTACAGGAAATGTCTCCAAAAAGAAGAAGAATAAATGTATAGATGAAATAATGGGTGGTGACTGTTGTTATTGATAATATTGAGCCACCCCAGTTGAAGGTTATTTATTTCAGGCCTGTATTTTGCACGGGTAAATGTCTTCAACTGATAAGAAAATATACAATATATTGAAAAAATATATATTTTTCAGAATTTAAACCTTAATCATCAAATGCACTCTCATCATCAGGTCCATGGGTCATCCAAGTCCAGGCCACTTTTGCTCCTGGGCCAAAAAAAACCCACTGCATTCAATAACTTTGCTTTTGTTTACCAATCTCTTTTAGAACACAAACACTGCTCAAAAAAGCCTAAATAATTCCGCTCATGCATAGCATCCCGTTACCGCTATTCAATTTCGTCCAACAGCTAGCAGAGGAATCCCAACAATTATGCACCGAGCTGCTGTCAGAGCACAGCCTCCGTTATTGTTCAACCTCTCCCGCTCTTCTTCACACAAAACACCCCAAACCTCCTCAGACCATCAGGTATTTCTGTCTATTTCGTGTAAAAAAATAAGAGTAGCCTGTTTTGCTAATGCTGCGGGTTATTTTCTGTCACAGCACGGCGCTGAATGTAGCCGCAGCTGATGTCCTGCAGCTCAATTTAAATGCCGAGTCGAAGGAAACCCGAGCCCGGCGGAAGTGCCCAACGCCTGGCAGTCCGACCCTCCGCGGCCCCGCCCAGTGATGCAGAGCTGAAGCCGGGCATGGCGACGCCATGACCGATGAGGAGAGATGGAGGAGCCGTAGTAGCGCGCCACCTAAAGGTACATCTATATAATGTTAATACATTTATATATTTTTTTATGTGATATATTTTTTGTTTCATATATCTTACAGATAAGAACATTATTAAGTGACCACAAGACACTTTAATTTTGTGTTGACCATCTCCCAAAACTACCTCAAGTTTGAACCAAAACTAGCAGCAGTGCTGGAATAAATAAAAGTACATTTTAGAAAAGTATTATTCTAAAGGTATGCATACTTTTGTTTTCAAAACTACAGTGCTTGAATAAATAAAAGTGCATTTTAGAAAAGTATTATTCTAAAGGTATGCATACTTTTGTTTTCAAAACTACAGTGCTTGAATAAATAAAAGTACATTTTAGAAAAGTATTATTCTAAAGGTATGCATACTTTTCTTTTTTTTCTTGATGCCAATAGGCTACGTGATTTTTTACACCTCTGCATTTGCAACTGCAGATTTAGATTATTAATATAAAATATAGTAGGCCTGTATCTAAACAGTTTAATATTTGACCAGCAGATGTCTCTATTCATTCTCTTGTTGAATCTTATAAAGGCAGGTGTCAGGAATATACTGTATATTACCTTAAGTATGTGCATATTTTCAAATTGTTGAGCTTGTAAGAGTCAAACATCTAGCGAAAAGAAATACTGGTAAAAGAGGCATTTCATGCTAAAAACAAAAGCAGAGCAGAACTAGTTCACTTTAATATAATTTATTTTAATATACAATAAATCTGTCTGGTGACATACAATTCTATGAAAAACATTGTACGTATACAATTCATGCACAGCATCAAACTTGTCATCACATTGCAGAAAAACCTGAGTTGTGAAACTAAATGTAGGGTTTGTAGAGATGTAGGGTTGTAGGGTTTGTAGAGATGATCAAACCAAAGCTTCCTTCATTTAACATTTTGAGTAAAAACAGTTACAACAATTAGGAGAAAGAGGAACAACATTATAAAAGGAGCGTAAGGTCTCCCCCCACTATGACAAGGGAAACAAGCGATGTAGCATTCTTCTGGTTATCAAAGTGAAAGTATGTACCGTGCTTTAATCATAGCTTGTTGATGGAATGCAGAAGAGCCAGTAGTGTAAGGAAATATGATCACGTGCAGGCAAGACAGCATAGCATATTCCACAAAGCTTCTTAAAACCACAGCTCCAAACAAACTTACAAATTGTTGCATATCAATAAAACAAGATGACTAAGTGATAACGCTGTAATATTGCACAGCAGACAGTATGTTGTTTAAAGAGATAAAGACACTGATGATTTCAAAATTATGTTGACTTCTTTTACAAATAATATTGGCACATACTCTAGTTCAGGTAGAGACTCTTTCTTAAATGAAACCATCTTGACATTCAAAAACAAAACATCAGGAGTAAAGCGCTCTCTTTGACTTCATCATAAACGATATGAACACATTAATCATAGAGGTAGATACTGTCTTGTTCCTCTGAACATCAGTATTTCCTTCATATAACATATTCAGTACTAGTGGATTTATATTAAAAGGAATACTGAAATCCCAGACAGAGAAAATTAGAAATTAATCACATTATGATTCGGCCCAATTGAGCAGAAATACACAGCACAAACAACTACTGTTCCAAAGTGTCTACAGTTTAAGTGCTGCTCCAGGAACTTAAAAAAGGGAAATACCTGAAACATGAAACTAAAGACACCTACTACTGCTAGACAGCGATAATAAGTAAACAAGGATATGTATAGTCATGGATTATCCGCAGTAAACTGTGTCACATATAGTATCCAAACATCCAACATCTACTTGTGAAGCATGTAGTCTCACAAAGAATTTGCGATCTGTCTAGAAAAACATCTAAAATGTGGTCGTACATGCATCAAGCCCAAGTGTAATTCCTTCATAAGTATTCACATTGATCAGTATCATTCGTTAATCTGATAAAGTTCAAATCATAAAGTAAACTTAATAAAGCAACATTAACGTTTACAGGTATACAAGTAACACGACTACAGTACTAAGTGTTCCTAAGAATTCGATTTTGTAGTTTTCTTAATAAAACCCATGGTTATGCTATTTAAGTGCACATAATGAGTGCAGAAGAAGAACATATATTTCTTTATAGTAATGGAGTAAATCAATTGATGAATATCATCTACTCGTCCATCGAGATGACCAAACCCCATCCGGTCAGAAAATCATCCCCTCCTCCCTCCAACACCCTCTGTGCCTCGGCCTTTTCCTCAGACCCTTGTCTCACAAACACATTTTCCAACCTCAGCTCGCCATTCCTAAAATTCACAGTCTCCTCCTCTCCCTCTCCTCCAATCATGTTCTCCCTCACTTTTTCTCCCTGCATCATCCCATCCCACACTCCCTCTTTGTTAAACCCCATCGCTATCTCCGGCAACACAAGTTTCCTGGTCTGAGGATCCCAATCAATACAAAGATTTCCCTCCTCCTCCTCCTCCTCCTCCTCTTCTTCTATATTGTGTGCTGTATTCATCGTCAGAATACCATAGTCATCTGGTAAATCATCTGATTGGTCAGAGTGGGAGATCTGCATAGTGTTCTGCGAGGCATAAGCAGAAAGAAGGGGTAATACCTCACTTTCATCCATCTCTCCATCCATTCCCACTCTCATATTTCCATTAATCTCCACCCCCATCCCTCCCTCCTTCTTTGCCAATAGATTCAAAGGAATATGGAAGAAGCCTATTTGTGGGATTGGGCTTATTAATAAACCTGGAAACTCTCTTTCCTCCTCCTTTCCCTTCACCTCTCCCATAGACGCTCCCTGACCAGACACTAATGGTGTTAACACTGGCAGTGACCATGCATGCGCTTGTATTAGTGTGCTCATCTCTGTCTGGGCATTAGTCAGAGGGTGGTCATCTTCAACGTCGCACTCTTTCTTCTCATAACTGCCTCTTACTGGGCAGTTCAGATCATTCAAATTCCCTACTCTGATCTCGATTTTAGGAGCTGCGGCAAGAAACCCATAGTCGACAGACAAATCGTCCCAGGGTTCCTCAGGTGCCGGTGGTGTTTGGGGCCTCTGGGAGGCGTACCCTGGTGTCGGCTTCTTTGGGCATGCAGAGTGTGGTGTGCCGCTCTCTGGTTGTTGATCTTTGATGATGGTGGTGATGGTGATGATGATGGGTTTGGGATTCTCAGGGGGGAACGTCAGAGGGGGCTGATAAAAGGTAGGCAGGTTCTGGAGGTTGAATGATAATGTCATCTCATTGCCACCCAATTGCCACAACTGTATATTTAAAACCAATAACAGACTCAAATGAGTTCGGTGCTCAAATTTCAAAACATCATGGCGCTACCTTAAAAGTGTCGCCAAAGCCAAGCTGATCTTTTTTAAGACTTAACAAAGCCATACAAGACTTTATATAGCTGTAATCATGACAAGTAAACCGGTCGTCATGTGTAAAATCTATTTTCCCTTTTACAAATCACATTTTAAATCGTCAATAAGTGTAAAAGTGTGAATGTTTGTGTTTTCATTACCAGTATATACGGGCTCTTCTGTCCTTTCCCCGACAGGTAGTTATAGAGAAGGTAGCCAACCACAACCAGCATACCCATGCACAACAATGGAACAATAATACCCACAACTACCCTCTGCAGCTGGCCAATCACTGGGTCTGGAGTGAGATGGGAAACAGAAACGTGTCACAATAATACACACACACACACTAAAAACTACATATAGGTAATACTATATCAACACCATGCCATATTTAAACGTATTGTATACAATGTAAAACTCACTATTACAAAGCAAAAGCAAGACTAATAATATCAGACTATAATCAAAAAGGCTTTTCAGGCACACACAATGATTTCTGCTTCACTTGTGTATCATGTTTAGTCACATTCCTTTCTACCTGTCAAATAGGGCGTAAAATATTCTCTCACACACACACACACAGGCTGTCGTACCTTTAGGTGTGGTAATGCAGTACCGTGCTGAGAGCAGACATTGGGCTGGCATGGAAGATAAACTTGCCCTGGCTGAAAAGCAGTACTTTGTGTCGTACTCCATCTTGCGAAATGTGTACGGACTTGAGACCACTTGAGAATGGTGCTAAAAACAAACAGAAAAAGACAATTCAGTGCAATATTACAATTTAAGGTATGCTTGATTTAACAACCTGTCTGTGCCAGAAAGGCGGGAAAAGCTGTATATTTTAACTCACTATCTGTGCGTGATGGTTATCCTCGATGAAGAGTTCGTAAGTCATGTCGGGGTAGACTGATGCCATGGAAACCATTGGGGCATTGGGCTGATATCTCATGGGTCCCTTCAAAGTGATGGTGGCATTGTTGTCCTTGATTTCCACAGAAACCATAGGGGGGCCAAAAGTAGCTAAACAGATAGAGCAACATATTACCTTTTGGGAAGATGTTGAAATATCAGCTAAGTTATCAGCCCTTCACTTTTTAGTTTTAAGTATTTATGTCTTGCTTTTTTTTTTAAACATGTTGACATTTCAACTTACTGTCCGACTTTGGATCAAATCTCCTCGTTGTCTGGACCCATGTTGAGGATGCTCTCCGGCTCACAGCACGAACTTTGGCATAGTATCCCTGCTCCAGATCCCCCGTCTCATTGCTCAGGTCACACCGCCTCCGCACGATGCCCGTACACCGCGGCACCGCCCTCCAGTGAGCCCGTCTACTGCCCTCAACACTGTCCCCATAGCTGGAAAACACAGAGAAGACCCTCACAGTTAGAGGATATCCCGCACAAACTGGGTCAATAAGAATGGCAGAAAGAGCTCAAAAAAAATCTCCCTCAAGCAAGAAATGTAAGCTTACACAAGCTGTTTGTTGGATACAGTTACATGTTTCTTCTCTCTGTCTTATAATAATACATAATAATAAAGCTTTATTTATATAGCACTTTTCATACAACTCATGCAGCTCAAAGTGCTTTACAAAA